AGTCTACCTGCCAAGACAAACCTAAGAACTGCATGACATAATTACAAAACACTTTTCACACAAATAAAGTCCAATCTAAATAAGTAAAGAAATATTAATTGCTCATGGGTAGACTGAGCCAATACAATCAAAATGACAATTCTACCTGAATTAATTTACTTATTCAGTTCTACCAAAAAATCATTTTATAGAGCTAGGAAAATAGTAACAAAATTCATCTAAAATAACAAAAGGTTAAAAATATCAAGGGAATCAATGAAAAAAATGTGAAGGAAGGTGGCCTAGGAGTACCAGATCTCAAACTGTATTTCAAAGCAATAATCATCAAAACAGTCTGGCACTGGCTAAGAAACAGAATGGTGAATCAGTGGAATAGATTAAGTATACAATACACAGTAATATATGACTATAGTAATTTAGTATTTGATAAACCCCCAAATCCAAGCTTTTGGTACAAGAATCACTATTTGACAAAAATTTCTGGAGAAACTGGAAAGCAGGTTGGCAGAAACTAGATATAGACCAACACTCACACCATATACCAATACATAATCGAAACTGGTACGTGATTTAGACATAGAGTGATAGCATAAGCTCAGTAGAGGAGCATGGGATAGTTTACCTGTCAGATCTATGGATAAGGGAAGAATTTATGACCACGTAAAAAGTAGAGAGCATTACAGGATGTAAAATGGATAATTTTTATTACATCAAATTAAAAAGGTTTTGCACAAACAAAACCAATGCAGCTAAGATTAGAAGAAAAGTAGAAAACTGGGGGGTGGGAGGGTTTTCATAGCAAGTTTGTCTGATAAAGGCCTCATTTCTCAAACATATAAAGAACTGAGTCAAATTTATAAAAAATATGAGTCATTCCACAATTAATAAATGATCAAAGGATATGAACAGGCAGTTTTCAGATGAAGTAATCAAATCTATCAATACTCATATAAAATGCTCTAAATCACTATTGATTAGAGAAATGCAAACTAAAATGACTCTGGGGTCACATCTATCAGATTGACCAATATAATAGAAAAGGAAAATGACAAATGTTGGAGGAGAGGTGGAAAAATTGGGACACTAATGCATTGTTGGTGGAGATGTGAACTGGTCCAAGCATCCTGGAGCATATTTGGAACTGTACCTAAACAGCTATAAAACTATGCGTACCCTTTGATCCAGCAATACCACTACTAGGTCTGTATCCCACAGAGATTAAAGAAAAAGGAAAAGGACCTATATGTATAAAAATATTTATAGCAGCATTTTTTTTTGTGGTGGCAAAGAACTGGAAATTGAGGGGATGCCCATCAATTGGGGAATGGTTGAACAAATTGTGGTATATGATTGTAATGGAATTTTTGTTGTTCTTGTTCGGTCATTTCAGTCATGTCTGACTCTTCATCAGTTTTTTTGGCAAAGATACTGGAGTGGTTTGTCATTTCCTTCTCCGGCTCATTTTATAGATGAGAACCTGGGCAAAACCAGTTAAGGGACTTGTATAGGGCCTCACTGCTAGTAATTGTCTGAGGCCAGATTTGAACTCAGGAAGATAGGTCTTCCTAACTTCAGGCCTTGAACTCTATCCACTGTACCATTTAGCTGCCCCTGTGATGGAACACTATTGTGCTACAAAAAAAAAAAAAAAAATGACAAACAAGATGGTCTCAGAAATACCTGGGAACACTTATAAGAACTGATACAAAGTGAAGTGAGCAAAACCAGGAGAACATTGTACACAGTAACAGCAATACCAAATGATGATCAACTATGAATGACTTAGCTATTCTGAGCAATACAATGATACAAGACAATTCCGTATGATATGATCAAAAAGCTATCCACCTCCAGAGAAAGAACTGATGGAGCATGAATGCAGACTGAAACACAATTTTTTAAACTTTCTTTATTTTTCCTGCTTTCTTGCTACATGGCTAATATGGAAATACGTTTTACATGATTTCACATATATAATTGATATCACCTATCTTGCCTTTGTAATGGGTGGTGGAGGAGTAGGAAGGAAAGAGAAAAGTTAGAACTCAATTTTTTTGAAAGAATGTTAAAAATAAATAAATGAATCAGCCAATAAAAAGAAATAGAAGAGAAAGCTTTAAAACAATTTTAGAATTTTCAAAGCAAAAATATCATTAACTGAAAAAAATTCCTCAGAATACAGGCTCACATAAATAAAGGACAGAAGGAACATAACTTTGAAGCTCTTTACAAAGTGAGCTATGGTGTCTAATATTGTTCTCATTAAAAAGCCCTTACTGATACAAAGTACACACTCTTTTTTCTAAGTAACCTATTTGTAATATTGTTAGATTTGAGTTAAAGCTGATGTAATTTTTTTTAATCACTGTTGCATTATTTTTAAAGTTTAAAGCATGATACAGGGTATCCGAAAAGTCTCGGCAAAGTTTTAGGGACATTCTGTATTTTCGAAATCTAAATCTATGTGTGTATTTGTGCCTGTATATTGTGTTGTGATGTGTGTGTGTGTGTACCAGCCAGTAGTAGAATATTATTAATTAGACATTGTCAAATTTTCCCCACTCCCTGGGCTTTGCTTAAAGCTTTACTTAAAGTAAAGGATTTTGTTACTTCAAAAAGTTTCAAAACCACTATACTAGCATCCCTGCCTCAAGTCACTCACCACTCCAATCAACACTACACTTTCCTATCTTCTGAAACAAAGAATACTGAAAATAATCTAAACTTTCCTTGATGCCTAGTGGCATAAATACGAATGCTGTTTATTGCACTTGCTTTTGAGGTACACAGGGGCGTATATCTCTCTACTAAATGGCTACAGCCCACTGGTTGCTTTTTGGTTTTACTACTTCTTGTCTATGTTTAATGTTTGCTTGTTTGTTTGTCTTCCACTCCGCTCTCAGGAATGTTTGTTAGTTGTTGCAGCAGTCCCCACTCACATTAGCTCCTCTTCCCACTTCTTATTTGGTGTTTCTAATATGTTGTGAGCTAGGAATTCAAATTTGTTATAATTATCTGTAGAGTAAAAGCAAAAGGCTCGTAGTATGCATCAAGTCACACTCCCCTTTCAGTAAAATACAATGGCTGAGAAACTGAGAGGAACAATGATCCAAGGAAAAGACCAATGGATTTAGTCATAGGTTCTGGCTTCCAATCCTGTCACTTGCTACCTATGTGACCATGGTCAATTCACTTAACCTCTCTGGGACTCAGTTTCTTCATCCGTAAAGTGAGAGATTCAGACTCAAAGAACTCCAACTTCTCTTCTGTGTCTAAATCTGTGCTCCTGCATTCTATTTTAGTTGCCAAGAGGTTTGTTTGTTTATTTTTGTTTTGTTTTGTTTTGTTTTTGGTTTGTTTTGTTTTGGTTTCTTGCTTTCTTCCAGCTCCTTGACTTCATGTTAGATGAGTAAAACTGTTGCGAGTTTAGGATTAGTGTAGGACCTTAGAGATGGAGACCAAGTTCAATCCCTTCATTTTCTACATGAAGAAACTAAGGCACAAACTGTGTCAGAGCCACACAGGCAGGAAATAGTATAATAGAGGAGCAGGTCATCAAATTCTGGTACAAGACTCTTTCTACCAGGCCATAGAGATGGCTGATTCTGGCTAAATACGGATTGATAAGACATTTGCTTGGAACAGAGGTGAGAAACTAGTGACCTTGAGGTCACGTGTGGCCTTCTAGCTCCTTGGGTACAGCTTTTTGACCAAGTATAAGTTTTACAGAACAAATAATTTTATTAAGGGGAATTGTTCTGTGAAGTTTGGATTCAAAGGGCCTAAGCTGAGCGCCTAAAGGGCCAGGTGTGGCCACCACAGGCCTCAGGTTCCCCACCCCTGGCCTAGAGTTTCCCCCTCTTTCTTCTCTCTTTAAAATTATTTGTCTATTACAAGGGTTCACAAGCTTTTTTTTTTTGTCGTTGACCCCTTTAGAAGCCTGGTGAAGCCTATAGATTCCTTATTAAAATAATGTTTTTAAATGCATAAAATACAATTCATAGGACTATAAAGGAAACCAATTATATTGAAGTAAGTTAACAATTTTTTAGCATTAGATCTAAGAACTCTTGGTCTGTTACATTCTGAGTTTTGTTTTACACTTTCCATGGTTATGACACAGGTGGGCACTTTTTGTTCTGCTATCCATAAACATTATTCTTCTCCAAGTCTTTCAAGTAAAAATAAAGTGAAATTTCCCCTCATTTATAGAATATTAAGTGTTTGGGTTTGACACTGATAGATAAACAAGGTACCTTTTTGATAATAATCTGAACAAATGTTCCAAAAGAAGTGCTTCTGTTCATGGCTATTGGTACAGGAACTTTAATTGTACATGCCCACAAGCCTAAGGAAGACAGGAAAATCATTCCAACAACACATTGCTTACATACGCAGTCCTTTGCATGGGAACTGAAGATGCAAAATATTGGGGGGAAAAACACAACTCATAAGAATGATGTATATATTTAGTTTTCTATTTACTCAGGCTTGGGAAGGGTGTGGCATGACTTCTTTTCCAGGAGTTTGTCTGTATGCATGGCACAATTAAAATCCTGACAACAAATATTATTACTGTAGAATAAAATAGAGTCTATTTATTTGGTAGCCCAAATCCCACAATCTGTCTACATTCTTGGTGACTACAGCTTTGACCTGCAAGATGGGAATAGAGAGTGACAGGCAGGTGGGGATCTTTTCTACCACCAATGATGTTATATTGTAGTCCGTGCATCTAGCTCCAATATTAATACATTAGGAACTCCATCCCTCTCTTTCCCACCCCCGAGAGGGCGGCCTCCATCTCCAGTAGGCCGCGGGGGGCCCCACCTCCCCTGTGTCGGCCTGAAGCAATAAATATGGCTGGAAGGGAGGAGCGCCTGGAGGAGAGATGGAAAAAAAAAAAAACGAAAGTGCTCTGAGTTTGGGCAGAGGAGAGTAAACCACCGCCAAGACTGGCCCCCGGCCGCCCGCGCCCCGGGCCCCAGGCTACCACCCACCTGATCAGGGGTCCCAGCTGCAGCATGTGCAGCAGTAGCACCAGCGGCCGGTCCCTTTTCAGGTCTCGGTGGATGAAGATGAGCGTGAACTGCACCAGCACGCAGGGCAGCAGCGCGAAGAGCAGGGTCAGGGACAGCCAGATGCGGTCCCCGGCCGAGTTGTAGGTGCTGCTCAGGTACAGAGCGGTGGCGGTCTCGGCCACGAAGAGGAACACGGACACCAGGACAGAGCCGGGGAATTTCATCTCCACCCCCTCCTACGGAGTCACCGGGCCACCGCGTCTGCCACCCCCCGGGGCCGGCCCGCCAGCCTGCGCTGGTTATCTGCGTGCGCCAGCCGCGGGCGGGAGAGGAGGATGACAAGTGTCCGATAGGTCCATCGCTCCTTCCCTGGTGCTCTCTCTCCGCCGGCTCCTGCTCCCTGCCAGCCCCGGCCGCCTCGCCGCTGATGCCACCCCTGCAGCGGAGCCCCAGAGAAAAGGCTGCCCGGGGTGGGCACAGCTGCCGCCTGCCTGCTGGAGTCAGACACCCCGGCCTTGGCCACCCGGCCTGTTTGCCGCAGCTTGGCTGCCCAGTCCCTCGTGGGAGAGAATAGGGCGGGGAGAGAGGGCAGCTGCAGCGCGCCAGCCTTGGCCCCTACTCAGACCTGCTTGGGCTCATTTCCAAGAAAGTGTTAGTTGGTTTGTTGTTTGCCTGACCTAGCGCTGCTGAGGGAGATCTGAGCGCTGCTGACAGGTGGCAGCCTTGAGAGGAAGGGGGTGGGGGAATGGAAGGGGCGGGGATTCAGGTGTCCCCCTCCTGGTGGTGTTCCCCATGCTTCTTTTTTTTTTTAGGTTCACATTTGCACCTCTGGGTTCACCTCCAACTCTAGGCATCAGAAGCCCTTCCAGGATTTAGCTGGGCCAAGAGGAAGCACGGGGGTTGTGAATTTTATTTCCCTCCACAGCCTCTGAGCAGCCTGCTTTTAGAGTCCTTAAATAGTCATACCAGCGCTGGTCAAACAAATCAGTTCATCCCCTGGGTCCTAGAGTTCCTTTTTGCATCTCTCGGGGAGGGAGGCCCTGTGAGGAGACAGCGCAGGCGGTGCGCGGCACAGGCTGTGAGGCTCCCTCCGCCTGGCACCACCACGTATGCTGTGTAAAAGCAGGCTGACCTCCCCCACCCCCGCCCCCGACGGAGCTGGAGTTTTCCCCTATTGCAATTTCTTCAGCAATGTTGAACGCAAGCTTATGGTGGCTGTGACCTCTCAGCTATAGTATAAGCATCAACCATGATGCTGAGACTTCAGCCAATGATCGATGGAACACAGATGCGAAGTTACACAAAGAAAAGCTGAAATTATGGCCTCCCCTTTTTTTTTTTTGAAATGTCATGTCTATGGTCAATATGTACCTTTCCTGAACCAAAAGAGATGCTCTATTTCTCAGTTTCAAAGATGCCAAGCTGTCAGTGATAGAGCATGATCCCGGGACCCAGGACCTAAAGACAGTCTCACTACATTACTTTGAGGAGCCTGAGCTGTGGGATGGCATCCGCCAGACTGTACACACACTTTAGGTGTAAGTGGACCCTGATGGGTGCTGTCCAGTCATGCTGATCTATGGAACATGCCCTTTGCAAGGGGGAGCGTGGCAGAGGAGCATGAGGGGCTGTAGGGGAAGGGCAGAAGACAAGCTCCCTGACAAGCTACATTATTGATGTTCAGACCTTGGGTGAGAAGCTCCTGAGCATCGCTAGTCTGCAGTTCGTGAGTACTATTAAGCCCCTTCTCTTCATCTTGTTTGGGGAATGGAAGCACTGTCTGTGCTTCAGAAGAGCATTTGGACCTAGGTGGTGACAGCCCTTGAGCTGCACAGCTGTTATGGCACATGGACAGTCATCACACCCTTGCACCCTTGTGCGGGGAAGAGGATGAGACTACCAAGGAGGAGGTGGCAGAACAGGAGCCTACTCCCAGAAACAGAAGACAGGAAAAGACATGGTTTTCTCATTCTCAGTTGGGAAGATTCCACCATGATCCTATAGACAGGTCAGAAGATCATGGAGCTGGATGCAACTGGCTTTGCTCATTGTCTATGCTGGTAACATTGGTGGCAATCGCTATGTTGTCAAGGTGTCACCCCTCAGTATTTATTTGCTAGGATGAGTGAACCAGTTGAAATTAATTCCTGTGGACCTGGGCTCTCCCATGGTGCAATGTGCCATCAATGATCCTTATGTGGTCATCATGAGTGCTGAGGGTCATGTGACTATATTCCTTCTGAAAAGTGACTCCTATTGGGGCAAGAACCATCACCTGGCTCTTCACAAGTCCCCTTTGCATCGCCAGTCAAAGATAATTGCACTCTTTGTGTACTGGGATATCAGTGGGATGTTCATCACTGAGAACAGAGCAACTGGACCCGGGGGGTGAACTGGGAGGTCTGGAGGCTGAAGGTCTGGGACCTGAGACCAGCCCCATAGTGGACGATGAAGAGTAGAGATGTATGGAGACTCTAGTTCCCTGTTCGGCCTCGGCAAAGAAGAGGCTGGAAGGAGCAATCTCCCACCTACTGACTGGGACCCTTTCCCATACAGAGCAGAGCTTACCCCTCTGATGTGTGCCCAAAAGAGAGAGTGGGACCACAGGAATATTTCAACTCCCAAACTGACACCTGGTATTTCTAGTAAAGACTTTCCCTGTTGGGCAGTGGGTACTAGTAGACAGTTCCTTTGTACAGACAGCCATCCAAAGTGACACCAAGAAGGAAGAAGGGACAAGGCAAGAACTTTCTCTTCTTAAGGTGTTACTGGTTGCCCTGGGCAACCATCAGATCCATCTCTTTTTGCTGGTACATAGACCAGGAACTGCCCATCTATGAGGCCTTTGCCAGCTCAACCAGAGCAACCTCAAAGTATGATTTGAAAAGCTTCCCCACAACATTAATTTCAGGGAGAAGTCAAGGTCATCAAGGAAGAAGCCAGAAGAGGAAGTGGGATTGAAGAGGGTGCTGGGGCTTGGGGCCATATGGCCAGGTTCTGTTACTTTGAAGATATTTGTGGCTATTCAGAGGTGTTTATCTGTGATCCCTCACTCCACTAGTGACTGGCAACTGGTTGGAGAGCCCTTCAATTATGCTCCATGGGTACTAATGGCCCATTACACCTTTGCTTGTTTCCACAATGTCAGCTCTCCAATGTCTTCATGTTGTCCACAGAATAATACTCAAACTCCTTTGCCTGACATTCAAGGCTGCCCACAATTTAGCAATGACCTACCTTTCTAGTCTTAAATTATTCTCCATCTGTAAACTGGACTACTCTTCTTCCCCATTCCATCTTCTTCCCAGCCTTCTAAGTTTTCCCAAATTGGTGTCTGATCAATTCATTTTCAGTATCTCCTTTCCCTTTTTGTCTACTGAATTATTTTAAAATTTTTTATTGGTCCTTTGTTTTTATGCCAATTTCATTTCTCAATATATCCTTTCCCCCTCCCCAAACCAGGTAAAACACGTTTAAAAAGAAGAGGGGGGGGGAAATAGTTCAGCAAAACTAACCAATATATCAACCAATTCTGACAATATGTACAGTGGACTACTTCCACAGTCTCCCACCTCTGCAAAGAAGGAAGAAAGGTACATTCTCCCAATTCTTCTTCATAGTCATGTTTGTTCTTCATAATTACAAAGTGTTCAGTTTCCATCTTGTGGTCATTCTTTCCATTTATATTGTGGAAGTCATTGTCAATTTTCCTGGTTCTGCTTACTTAGCTCTCTCAGTTCATGTAAGTCTTTCTATATTTCTTTGTACTCTTTATATTTATCATTTCTTATAGAACAGTAATGTTTTATTTCATTCACTTACTACAATTTGTTCAGTCATTCCCTTTTTAATGAGAATCCACTTATTTGACACTACAAAAACTGCTGCTATATTTTGGTGTACACAAAACTTTGTTTTCTTTCTTTGATCTACTTGAGGTATATGCCTAGCATGACATATTAAGATCAAAG